AAAAAAAAAAAAAAAAAAAAAAAAAACTTTAAAAAAAAAATGATTTGAACAGACCCTTTCCCAAAGAAGATAAACAATAACCTTTGGTCCAGTATTTTGTTGGTTTATTTGTCTTTTTATTACTTAGTTGCGAAAGTTCCTTATATAGTCTACATATGAGTCCTTTTTATGCATTTAAATTTTCATATTAATGTTTGTGTGGTATTAAAATAACCACTCAATTTTCTTTTGGTTGCTGTTTGAGTAATATATACTACTCTTATCATCTCACTTTTAACCTTCTATTAATAAGTTTTAAATGTATCTCTTATAAACAGCAAACATAGAAATTTAAATAATAATTTGACAATCACGGCTGTTCTGATTACTAATATATTTAGATTTATTTCTATCGCTATAATTTGTGATAATTTACCATGCTAATTATTTTGCTTCTTTTTCTTAATTCGTCCTGCCTTGTTTCAATGTGATAAAGTTTTCTATATTCTTTTCCCACCTCTACTTTTAGTGGGTTACACTTAAAATTTTTAAATTCATATTTGATAATTTTTCTAATAAATTTTAAGATTATTTTGTGTTTCTATTCTCTGATCCCAAGACTATATCACACTTTACCTATTAAAACACACTACTACATCTTGTATTCAGGCTAATTTGATCTTTTTTGTTTGTCTGTTTTGTTTGAGATAGAATCTCATTCTTTGCCCCAGGCATGAGGGCAATGGCATCCTCATAGATCACTGCTACCTCAGACTCCTGGGATCAAGAGATTCTCCTGTCTCCCAAGCAGCTGAGAAGGCAGGTGCACACCACTACGCCCAGCTAATTTTTCTAGAGATAGGGTCTCACTCTTGCTCAGAACTGGTCTTAAACTCCAATCAAGCAAACCCAGAGTGCTAAGATTACAGGCGTAAGCCAACACACCAACCTAGCTTGACCTTTTTTAAAGCATAAAAATTTTAAACTTTCTACAATGAATATTGATAAATTCACTGTCATATTTTATCAGTATCAGCTCTCATCACTGTTTTTTACATAGCATACCTTCCTTTTGAATTTACTTTCCATTGCTGTTTTATTTTTTTTCTTTTTCTTCTCTCTCTTCTTTGGGAAGAGGGAATATTTTTTTGGAAAATAACCTTCAGTAGTTCTTTTAGTGAGAATATGTTAGCCTTTGTATGTCTAAAAATGTCTTATTTTGCCTTGACTCTTCTAAGATAATTTGGCTGGGTATAAAATATAAGTGGACATTTACTTTCAACAATTTTGCAAATCAACTTCTAGCACCTGTTTTTGATGATAAAAACACAACTATCTGTCATTCCTTTGCAGGTAATCTCTTCCTCACTGGAAGCTTTAGTGATTTACTCTTTATCCTGTTCTGATGTGTGTCTAAGTGTAGATTTATTTTTATTTATCCGACTCAGTACTCAGTATACTTTTCATCTGAAAATCCATCACATTTGTCTTCATTTCTAGAAAAATTTCAGCCATTACTTTTCAGATATTGCTTCTCCTTTCTCTTCTACTCTCTGGATATATTTGATGTATACCTGAGTCTCTCTTAAGGCTTCTTTTATAGTTTTTATCAGATATTTCTCTTTTTAATATACATATTCTATCTATATTGCTATGTATTTGGATCAAATTTGATATCTCCAAGTATGAATTCACAAAGTCATTTTGTCTGGAAGTCCTCTTAAATTCAGGTTGGTTTATGACATTCAAAATTCAAGACAGAAAAAACAAAACTACATATTGCTTCCTATAAATTAACTTTTCTGCTTCTGGACGTTTGTCACTCTATTTGACTGACTAGCAAGTGAACTCTTTTCGTAGGATGAGGAATTCTCTAGGACATATGAGAGAAACGGCACACCTCCCTGGCCGCAGGACAGGAGCTTATGAATTTCAATCCACTAGCAAAAAAGGAGAAATCAAAAGAATCTATTTTATGATGGATGCTGGTATTTATCTCCAGTTTCCAAAGGCAGCTGCTAGCAGTGGCATCCCCTGTCTACTCCTGGTGCTGTCGGCAACATATCTAGTGCCTTAAAGTAGAGGCGAGGGTGTCTTCAACAGATGGTTCTGCACCAGGATTTGAGGCATGAATAGCCTCTGAACCTCCCAAAGAGTTTCTGATACAGTCTTTAACAGTGCTTCTTGAAAAGAGAAAAAGCTATGAAAGTACGTGTGGCATTTTACTTTGTTTTGTTTTCTGAAACAAGGTCTTGCTGTGTCACCCAGGTTGGAGTGCAATGGCAGGATCATAGCTCACTGTAGCCTCAAACTCCTGCATTCAAGGAATCCTCTCACTTCAGTCTCCCAACTAGTTGGGACTACAGCTGCACACCATCACGCCTGGCTGATATGTGTATTTTTTTATAGAGACATGGTCTCCCTGTCTTGCCCAGGCTGGTCTCAAACTCCTGGCCTCAAAGTTATCTTCCCACCTTGGCCTCAAAGAGTGCTGAGATTATAAGTGTGAGCCACTGTGCTCAGCCAGTATTTTCTTAATTAAGATGATCAAATAAATAATTCATCTTTGTGAGTCTTACCTTTCCCCCAACCAGAGGCAAAATGTGCATCTTTCCAGTTTGACAATCCTTCACCGAGGAAACAATAAGGCAGGTACCACAGAGAACCACCAGGCGTTCCGCCCACTTGTGCAGTTGAGTCTTTCCCTTGCGTACGTTATAGATGCCAGACAGTAAGATTCGATCCAGATGATCCATCTGACATGGTTTCTCTGAAAAGAAAATAATACTTCAGAATCTACCATTAAAGTAGTATAAGAATACTGAAAGGCAAAAAACAGTATTATATGTCAACATTCAACAACTCTGTTTATTGATATAAGTGACCAAGCAAAATAGGTATCACAAAACAAGATCACAGTCCTAAAATATTATCCATCACTGAATTTATACACATATCATGGTAGTACCTGTGAATTTTGGTTTACAAAGCAATATTTTACTGGAATGTCATTGTTAACTGTTCTTCCAGCAGTTGTATTTTCTGTGTATGCAGAGAAAGGCAGGATAGGAGTGGTTCAGATCATAACTTTCAGGTCAGATACATGAGTTTGAATCTTGGTTGTATCACTTCCCGTTTGCTTAAACTCCTTCATTTCATTGAGATTTACTTTATTCGCTTATATAGTTTGGACCTTAATATAAACTACCTACTTTTAGGGGGTTCTAGTAAAAATTAAATAATAAATGTAAAGTGTAAGAATAGTTTTAGGTACAAAAGAAGTATGGAACAAATGACAGCTACTATTGTTGTTAGTCTATTCCTGAAGGAAGAAAGTAATAATTACAGGAGTACTAGTACTCTGATTCTGTATATAATTTCCACCCCTCTGCCTCTCCTAGGGAAAAATTTATGGGTGACATCTCAGTCAACTATTAGCACAATAATGGCAGAAGCTGGTACATGTGCCCAAGACTGTCTCTTTCTTTAAGCATCCTCCTTTCCATCAGAAGTTTTCATGTGACTCAGACATAGTGAAGAAAGGCCCAGTTTTTGGTAATAGCACTACTAGAAACAGGCAAGCATCTACACACAGCAAAGAGCAGGAGCAGCAGGAGCATGAGGTGGTGCCAATGGTAATCCAGGAGTTGAGAAGACCAGACTATAATCCAGAGATATGACATAACTGATTACGCAACCTCGGGCATTACTTTAGTCACGAATACAGTATTCAAAAGATGTATATTCAGAATGAGGAAATGGGCAGATTTCTTCAAAGCCTTAAAAGTATATCATGCAATAAAACTTTGTATGTTAACACTAGATACCTGGGGTAGCCATTTCATCTACTATTCTAGCCCAATTCTTACACCTACATAGTTTTTCCTCAGTATTCACAATGGACTGGTTCCAAAATTCTTCCACAAATACCAAAATCCATAGATGCTGAAGTCCCTTATATAAAATGGCATAGGCCAGGCACAGAGGCTCACACCTGTAATCCTAGCACTTTGAGAGGCCGAGGTGAGAGGACTGCATGAGGCCAGGAGTTTGAGACCAGCTTAACCAAAAGCAAACTCCTTGTCTCTACAAAAAATTTTAAAAACTAGCCAGGAATAGTGGCACACATTTGTAATCACAGCTACTTGGGAGACTGGGGGGGCAGGAGGAGCAAGTGAACCCAGGAGTTTGAGGCTGCAGTGAGCTATGATGATGCCAGTGCATTCTCCCTGGCTGAAAACAAAAGAAACAAAAAAAAAAGCACAGTATTTGCACATAGTCTACACACAACCTCCTGTATACTTTGAATCATCTCTAGATTGCTAATAATACCTAGTATAATGAGACTGCTACATAAATACTTGTTAAACTATATTTTCTAAATTTATGTATTTTTTACTGTTGCACTGTTGTTTTTCAAAATGTTTTTGACCCTCATTAGGGATGCAGGCCACCTGTATTCGAAACTCCACCTTCCTCGGTGTTTTGTTCTCCCAGAGCTGTATTTCCTAAGCGCTCATTCCATGTTTCCAGCTGTCTGCCAGGCATCTCCACCTAGACATTTACCACCATGAAAACTAACTACGCCAAAACCCAGTCCTCACCTACCCTGAAGCCAGCTCCTTCTCACCCACCCTGAAGCCAGCTCCTTCTCACAACCCAAGCCGTATTACACCTCCTCAAGTCACCCCGGCTCAAAACCTCACAGTCAGCTCTAACTCTTGGGTCTACTTCCTCACCTCCGTTTATCAACCATCAATGTTTACTCCCTAGTCCTTCAGAAAGTCTCTCCCGTGAACAATTCCTTCCCATCCCCTACTTCAGGTCCCTATTAATTCACATCTGAGTGACCCACGCTGGTACCAGATTCTCTGGCTCACATGGATCCCATCACCTCCTGCTACCATCTGCCAAATGAAGGCTAAGCTCCTGGTAGTACAGCCATGGCCCAAAACTATCTAGACGCAAATTATCTGTGATTCATAGAACATGTGATGAAACTGCTAGTCTCCTACCTCTGTCCTCTTTCATTTCTGCTTATTATTGAAATTCTGCCGAATTTTAATTCCAATACTACTTCTTCACAAAGCCTTCCCCAATTTCTAGACCTCTCCCTGATGTCTCAAGGACAGTCATAGCGAACATCCTATTGATTATCAAAATACCATCTATGTACATCAGTTAAAATAGTTTTGGTATTGGTGTTAGAAAAGACAAATAGATCAGTGTAACAGGTAGAATCCAAACACAGATCCTTGCTTATACAGAAACTTAGTAACAATAAAGGCAATGTTCCAGATCAGTAGGAAAGGGTGGACTAATTTCATTAATTTTGTTGGGGCAACTGGCTAAAAAAAAAGTAAAGTTAGATTCCTCCTATCTATCATATTTTAAAACTACGTACATAAAAAGTACAGGAATAAAATACAGGCTATGTTTATGACCTAAAATAGGGATAGAGGCTCGGCGCCTGTGGCTCAAGCAGCGAGGCGCCAGCCACATACACCTAAGGTGGCGGGTTCGAATCCCCAGCCTGGGCCTGCCAAACAACGACGGCTGCAACCAAAAAACGGCCAGGCGTTGTGGCGGGCGCCTGTGGTCCCAGTACTTGGGAGACTGAGGCAGGAGACTCGCTTGAGCCCAGGAGTTGGAGGTTGCTGTGAGCTGTGATGCCATAGCACTCTACCCAGGGGGATAGCTTGAGGCTCTGTCTCAAAAAAAAAAAAAAAGAAGGGATAGAATATAAATGCATTAAAATGACTAATCTGAGTAAATAAAAATTTTAAACTTCTACACAAAACATTAAACAAAATTAAAGTTGTATCATTTTTATACTGATTATTTAAAGAACTTATGTATATATTCTGAATATATAATCCTTTGGATACCATATTTGTGACTAAATTCTTTTCCAACCTTTAACTTTTACATACATATTTTTAAAATATTGTGCTGATTGGGGCGCACCTGTGGCTCAAAGGAGTAGGGCACCAGCCCCATATGCCAGAGGTGGCGGGTTCAAACCCGGCCCCAGCCAAAAATTGCAAAAAGAAAAAAAAATTGTGCTGATTATTACCATCCCAGCCCACACAGGAGCAAAACAGCAGTGAGGAACACACATTAGCAGTTCTAGGAACCAGGTACAGAAGTGAACACATCCATTCCACCCCATACCACTGAAGACAATGTTCTCACATGTGCACACCTAACTCCAGGAAAGGATAGGGAATTCATTATGAAATGAAGGGGAAAAGAAAGGAGGGGGGAGGGAGGAGGCAGGCTGGCATATGAGGTTTATCCAGGAAACCATGTGCTCAGCTACTGTTTTGCTATTAAGGAAGAACAGACTTTGACAGACAGCAGTACTGCACGCACCTCTAAACAATATGGCTGTGATCTGCTTGTTTTTGAACTTTAAATGAATGGAAACATATTATGTTGATTGTTTTGTGTCTTTCTTCTTTTGTTTGTTTTTATGTTCTTTGGACAAAAGTGTTTTAAACAATGTGTGCAGGGAATGTGCTCCAGAAAGCAATGCTGGGAGCTGTGCTACTTGAGTTGGACAGTCCCAGAACTATGTCACTAGTAAAAATCACACTCTCTAGATTCTGTTTCCTCCAACACAAATAAGGGAGCTGATCAACGTGCTCCCTTAATCCTGGTGACTAATCATGCTACCCACTAACCATTAGCAAAACATTATTTCCATAGCTTTTAAATCATGACTTTGCACTGAGACAGCCATTCCTCACTGCTCCCCCAGCACTCACTCTCCAACAAGACTGAAAACTAGCACTTGTGTACATAATGGCTGCCCGGGACCCTGGGCACCTTCTTTAATAAGAGAACATAACATTAACTGGTTTGAACTTTGGTCTTTATGACCTTGGCCTCATTGACAGCATATTCTAACAAAGCTGACTCACTATAGATCCCATACATGGAATATTTAAAGCTGATTACTAAGCAATTTACTTCAAAGACATACTTCAAATCTTCTGTTAATAGTGGTTATCTCTGGATTTAGAAACTGGATGGTTAGAGGAGAAAGGTGAGAGGGAAAGCATACTTTCTGAGATGGTTTTAAGATACGTCCATAGACATGTCTCACACCTATAATCCCAGCACTTGGGAAGGTCAATTGCCTGAGGTCACGAGTCTGAGACTAGCCTGAGCAAGAGCAGCTAAAAAATAGCTGGGTATTGAGGTGGGTGCCTATAGTCCCAGTTACTTGGGAGGTCAAGGCAAGAGAATCACTTGCTATGACGCGACGGCACTCTACCAAGGGCGACAAAGTGAGACTGTCTCAAGAAAAAAAAAAAAAAGATATGTCCACAAATTCTATGATACTCCTTCCTTCAAAAGTTAAAGCCTAATTCCCCTCTCTACGGTGTGGGCTACGTTTAGTGAATCATTTCTTAATATAAACAGAAAGTGGTAAAAATGATTGTACCGTATGAGGCTTAGTCATAAAAAACACTGACACCTCCCTGGACGTGTATGTTGTCTCAGCACTGGGGGGCGTGAGCTGCTGTGCTGTGAGGATGTGCAGGCAGTCTCATGGAGAGAACCACCCAACAGGGAACTGAAGCCTTCCACCAACGGCTGCTAAAAATCTGAGGAACCATGTTGAAAGTGAATCTTCAAACCCCATACACCCTACAAGTTTTCTCCTGTTTTCTTTCTTTCTCTCTTTTTTTTTTAGAGACAGGGTTTCACTGTCACCCAAGCTGGAGTGCAGTGGTCTAATCACAGCTCACTGCAATCCTGAACTCCTGTGCTCAGGTGAGCCACCTCCTGCCTTGGCCTCCCAAATATTAACATATTCTGACCAAAGATAAATTAAAAAAATAAATCTCTAAGGATGATTTTTACTCAGGCATGAAAAGAAAGAAAATCACTCCCAAGGAAACAGAGTAATAGAAATAATATATTTTTTAAGAGTCTCACTCTGGCACCCTGAGTAGAATGCCATAGCAACATTGCTCACAGCAACCTCAAACTCTTGGGCTCAAGTGATTGTCTTAACGCGTTTTTCTATTGTTAGTAGACATGGGGGTCTCAATATTACTCAGGCTGGTCTTGAACTCCTGAGCTCAAGCAATCCACCCATCCAGTCTCCTAGAGTATAGGATTACAGGCGTGAGTCACCTTGCCCGGCCCAGAAAATAAAATAAAATGAAGCCAACTTTAAAAACCGACATGTAATGAACACTATTGCAATGAAAAAGTACAAATAAAATCTTCCTAAGTACATTTAGTAATACAAGTATGTCATATTTTGTTCCAGAGTTGTATCAAGTAGTATGACCTTGGCTCAGTGCCTGTGGCTCAATCGGCTAAGGCGCCAGCCACATACACCTAAGGTGGCGGGTTCGAATCCCCAGCCTGGGCCCACCAAACAACAATGATGGCTGCAACCAAAAAATGGCCAGGCACTGTGGCGGCCGCCTGTAGTCCCAGCTACTTGGGAGGCTGAGGCAGGAGACTCGCTTGAGCCAGGAGTTGGAGGTTGCTGTGAGCTGTGAGGCCCTGGCACTCTACCCAGGGGGATAGCTTGAGGCTCCGTCTCAAAAAAAAAAAAAAGTATGACCTTGAACAAGTCATTTAAGTTCTCTCTGTCTCAGTTTTCTCATCTGTAAAATGAGATGGTAGTCCCTATAGCATAGGGTGAATTAGGAGCTCCTATAGCATCAGGTAAAGAGTAAATTAGATAATTCATTAGCAAACCGGCACACAGTAAGCACTCCATGAATGTTACTTAGTAAGTAGTAGTACTACCAAGTTACGTATAATAAGAAAGTGATATCTACAAAGGCTATCTGATTTTAATAAGTCTAACTACTGTTGAAGTAATCGGGTGAAAAATGTATAGGGGGAAAACTGCAGAAAAAAGAAGACCAAATCAAAAATCCTAGCGCTAAAGCCAATTTGCCAATATGTAAATCTGACAGATGTACTCATCAAATGTCAAGTCATATATTGTAATGACATTTAGTTCTCTTTTAAATAACTGGTACTAATGCATGATCAGATCAAGATTCTGGCAAAGGTATAAAATAATTCTAGTAAGTTAGTAGAATACAGAACAAAAAGAACAAAAATTAAAAGGGAAGATATTTTTGGCTCACACTACTAAGTCTTCCCTAACCCCTGATCTCTTGTTTTCATTGTTGGTTTTTACTACATGAGTTAACTGGCTTACATATAGCTTTTGATAAAATACTTTTAAAAGCTGAATGCAGATGAAGGCACAAATGATCAACGTAAAAGCAGTTAACATATTCATAAAGCCACCGATAAATTCTTACCACCATAAAATCGAATCATACAGCCAAGGTCAGGATTTGTAGCCTCCTCCTGTATACGCACAGGATCATCAAATCCCAGTTTGGACAAGTAATCATACACAATCTGAAGAGGTCGTTCAATAGGTTCCAGTCTCCTGCTTACAAAATTAAACAAATATATTTGGTAAGTAATAAAAATTCTCCATTTAATTTTTTAATCTTTCAATATATTTTTGATTTTTACCTCCAGATCAAGATTTTCTTTAAAAGCCTATGGAACAACTAAACAAGTGGTTTTCAAAGTCTCTCGTCTCAGAAGTACATAGTACTCAGGAGTATATATGTATAATAGTCTTCGAAAACCCCAAAGAGTTTTTGGCTATCACCGATATCATATAAAGCCACACACACAATTATGAAATAGAGAATTTCATAACTGATACCATATAAGCTACACACACAATTATGAAATATTATAATTCATAATTTAAAATTATGAATTATATAAATAGTTGACTACTATACCCCTGGCACTATATATTTCCACCAGCTTCACTGCTGATTCCTCCATAAAAATTAGGAATGAATGGACCAATAATTCTCCAAAAATCATTCTACTACATGGCCCTAATTGAAAGCTAAGGTAAAACTAGAATGTCTCACAATAATTTGTGGCCTCCAGTGACACCATATCTTAAATCACACAGACTTAAAATACTTAAAAATACATATAAAACCAACAGTGATCAATGTGTATTTTGACAGAAGGAACTACATTAGACATAACAGCAAAACAGCTCTTTTATAACCTTTTATTAGAAAGTTAACAGTTACAAATACAGTGGCTAAGATCATGGCCTCCAAAAGTCACTGTGCCTGGGTTGAGTCTTAGTTCGGCCATTTATCAACTGCATGCCCCTGTGCAAGTTATTTAACCTTGTCATCCTAAATTTTTATTTAACCTCAACCTAAATTCTTCATCAATATAGTAGGAATAACAATAGTACCTACTTCACAGGACTGTTAATAAATTTGCTGATTTACTTACAACAAGTTATTATGCAACATGTAAAGTACTTAGCAAAATATCTCACATATCAGGCGATGCCTGTGGCTTAAAGGAGTAAGGTACTGGCCCCATATACGAGAGGTGGTAGCTCAAACCTAGCCCCAGCCAAAAAAAAAAAAAAACTCACATATCATAGTTAATATCTGATAACATGTTGACAATTATTCAAAAGAATTTAGTACTGAAATCAAATTTTAATTATAATAAAAAGAGTATATCTCCCTCACCTGAAACAACCAAAAACCAAGTATGGGAAAGTCAATATGTATGCAAAAGGTCTTAAAAAACATTAAATAAGGATTCTGTTTAGAAAACTTTTTTTTTTTTTTCCAGAC